GATATTTCCTGTTTTAATCTAGAATATGATTTGTGTCTCATCAGGCTCTATGGAGCCTTTCCCACAACTCTTAGAGCCTAGTAGAGTGGTGCCCCTAATTGCATCAGCCTTGGTTTAGAACTACTGTGAAAAACCCCAAATCCAACATCTCGGTAGTGCCATTTGAAGCATATGAATGCTCCTATTGAAGTAAAACATATATGTATGTATGTTTGTAGGATCAAGGCTAGAGCTGGGTGAATTTTGTAGGGAAAAAATTGCAGTTTGCTGGACAAAAACAATTTCAGGTCTACTACAACTATTAATGAATTAAGGCTAAATGGAATGTTTCAGTTTTCATTTCAAAACCTTAAACTTATAATAAGAATATCCCTATAGAAAAAAAAAAATGAAACATTTTATTTTGGACTGAAGGGAACTTTTTGGTTATCTTTTTTTTTTTTTTTTAATTGCCAAGAAAACAAAAAGTCACTTGGCAGAGGGTTTTAGATTAAGATGCAGTTTGTGGATAAGTTGATCATTTTCTTGAGAAAATTATCAGGTATGTTAATAGTAGGACACGACAATTAATTTGTTGGGTTTTTTTTACTAATGGAGTGGGTAGGGAGAAGCACTGGGATTTTGTTGCGGGGGAGGCTGACGATGAAAGCACCTGACATGCTAGCTAGGCCAATGGTAATATACAATCACCAGGAATTATGACACCAGCCATGACACCACCACCCCTGATACTTTCCATCAAGTGGATGAATCACATGGGGAGAAAACTCACCCATATCGTCTTTTTAGTGCAGAGCCCTCTCTGGCATTTTGACTTTCAGGCACTACTTAACAGAAATACATTGCTTCTGGCTTGTTACATTCCAGCGTACTTCAGATAATGTATTTTGTACATGATCCTAGGGCTAGTCATGATCACTTTTTTAAAACACACCAAGCAACTAATTCAAACAAATGATCTACAGTTACAGCATGTTGGTGAATTCTTCTGTGGTCAAATCAGTTTATGCTTTCCCCTTCCATAACAGTTCTGCTTTACACAGGGTGTGGACAGATGAACAAGTATACTGTGTTAAAGAGACGGGGAGAGAGCTTACTGCTGGAGAGGCTACAATAGCTGATCTGTTGCAACTGTTTTCTCTGTCCATTGCTATAATGCAGGAAGTGAAGCTAAACCATGACAACTTAACCCTATTTCATTCAGGAATCAACTGCCCCAGTTTATCTTTCACTTACCAAGGGCTACAGTGGGTTCAGCTTAAGTCTCTGAATCTATACTTCCCTTTACCCCTAATAATATAACCGTTCATCTGTCCATACTCCCAGATAGGTTTTGGTTTAAATGATTCTCTAGGTCTCTCCAAGTGACCCTCTACGTAGTAGTATAACTTTGGTTACATAATCTCTGAATCCTTTATAGACATTAATAATTTTATCTTCTGTTTGCAATTTACATAGAGTATTATCAAATCCATTTTACAGATGCAAATAGAGTTGGAGTGATGCTTAGGTCCCAGTCAGTGGGATTAATTATATTCTAAAAGATAAGCATATGTCCAAGATTTTTTTGTGATTTTTTTGGTGTAAGTGATTTGCCCAAGGACTGTCTGGAAGACTGTGTCAGAGCTGAAAGCAGAACCCAGATCCGAGTCTTAGATCAGTTTTTCACTTACAAGGCTCATAGCTGAATTTGCATATAGAGCTGTCTGGAAATGTGATGATTTCTCTTCTATTTCACTACATATTAGCGAATATGGGGGGTTACACATACAAGGGAAATTTATTTTAGAATAGGTTGTTTAACTGGGTGATTTACATTCTGCTATTTGGTGTTGGTGTGGATGGGCAAATCATTTCAGTGTTTGTCTTTAGCTTTTTACATTTTTGTAAAAGTGCCCAGGCCCTTGTCCTTCGGCAGGTGCTTTTGACATAAATTTGAGCCTTAAATTTAAAGAAATAAAATAAATACACAAAGCTCCATTACAACTGTGGTCACTAATAGCTGCCTAACACATGTGAGTACACATTTGTATGCACGCATATATAACTGTAATGAGTGTGTAGCACTATATAGTATTTTTAAAAGCCCTTGTACAAATATAAGATGATTTATGAAGTGTGACTCATTTTTCCCTCTCCAAACTATTCCAGTGGAAGAGCTCAGACTGAGATGAGAAAAACTAATAGACATTATTAAGAATTCTGATAAAGTAGGCTGAATAAATTTGTTTTCTTTGTGAGCCTTAATCCTGTGTTGTATTGGCTTCTCGGACATGGCTAATTTATTTGGAATTCCATTCTGTTCCTGACAGCATTCCTGATTAGCAGTTTGATCACCCAGAGCAAAGTTACATACCAGCTTTCAACTCTTGTAATCCACCAGTGTAATTTTTTCAAATAGACTCTTTCTTTTCTTCCTTCTCTCCCTCCCCTCCCCTCCTTTCTGTGAGCAGAGAGACATTAAAAATAATCAAGATAGTCTGTTAATAGAATGAAAAATCTGTTCAAAGAACGCCATATTCTGCATTGAATTTTCAGTACCAGCAGCTCTTTATTCCATTGGGTGTCTTTTTTTGTAATTGGGAAATGAACTAAATTTGTCTTTATTCGAGGGGTTAGAGCTGGGTGAATTGTAAGTTATAATATAGCATTAGTAAGACTGTAATGTATCATAACTGTAGTCAACAATGCCCATTCTTTCTTCTCTGTTTTGTTGTTTGAAACTGATAATAACCTTGGTCATTATATACAATGATAGGAAAAGGGAATAAAATAAAAATTAGAGACAGGAACATTTGTGACTTGTTCTGTAGTCTAGAGTTATCTGAACTTGTAGTCATCTTCAGAGGATCATAGGCTTCAGTGGACAATAGGAGCACTTTACCAGTACAGGAATACTAACTAGTGTAATATGCTAGCAAAGTGCTCCTAGTATTTATGTAAAATACACTGATGAAGCTGTGCTTTGTAACACTCTAGTAAATTCATCCCCTGTGAATAAAATAAGCTATTGAAGGAAATGTATATTTTGATGGTCAAAATGTCTCGGTATTAGAAGATTCTGCTGGCAAAGCAGTGGCAGTCAGGGATCTCACCTCTTCATGCTCTGGACTTACCAACTGGACAGTGTATAGTACAGACTTGCCCCAAGAGACATGGTCTTCATACAAAGTTCAGATAAAAGGGTGGAATACTCTGAATTTCACAGACATTCAGGTGTTCAAAGGTTTGTATTGCCAGTCTGCTAAATACACCAATATAGAAGGTTTCCTATGAGTGTCAAAGATAAGATTTTAGAAAAGTTTAACTGATTTGGAAGCAAAAGTCAAATTTAAATCAATAATTGTGTGCCTAAGTCACTTAGGAGCTTTATGAATTTCTGCCCCCCACTCTGCAGTTGTGATTTACTGAGGCAATATTAAATTTGCTAGTAGTTTACTTACTACTTCTATGATTATGTCCTGTTGATTTCAGTGGGACTATTCATGTATTTAAAAATCATACATATAAGTAACTTGCTGAATTTAGCTATATTCTTGATCATCATTTTTTTAAGTTTTGAGATTCCACAAAATGTCCAAGTTAAAGGTGTTACAAGAACAAGTTGTATTAAAGCTTTAGAGTAATGATTTTTTTTTTTTGTATTTAGTAAATCAAAGATAGAAGTGTGGAGTCCCAGACCTTCCCCCATGCCATGAGAATATAGTAACATTTTCAATAATTAGCTCTTTTGGAGAGGTATCCCCATATGAAATTATAGCCAAATTCTCTCCAAACTTTTTGGCAAGTCAAAATCCACATACAGATTCTATAATGTCAGGTCTTCCTCTGCAGTAGAAGCCCCATGGAATTTGCAGTTGTTTCATTGTTCTCTTCTCCCAGCAAATGTAACTACATGCTTATGTTTTGAAAGCTTTCTAGACAAAGACAGTGATAAATTGGAAATCCAAAAAAACCCCCGAATGGTAAATCAAAGCAAGGTTTTGACTAGATACTTTTGGAAAAAAAAAATCTTTAGGATTAGATTAGATCAAATCTAACATATAAGTAGCCCCTTACTTAAGTATTATAATCTCCTAAAGACATGTAGCTACAGCTGGGGAAGAAACAATCTTCCCATCCTGTGAAACTTTTTGAAATTTCATAACTGTTTCCTGTTTTGCTTTGGGATAAAACTGAGACATTCCACAGGTTTTGAGAGTGCGAGGGACCTCATGATAACCAGTAACATGGTAGTGACTGGACTCATCTGGGAACCTGAACCTGGATTTCCGACTTGAATATGCTGACCACTAAGCTATCTGCTACTTTGGGGTCTCTGTCTTAGAGTCTTTGTCTTGGATTTTCTCGGGAATTCCCTTTTAGATCTGGCAGACAAGGTTCTTTGGGTGAATCTGATCTCTTCTATTAGATGCACTTAAATAGTTGGGAAAAAAATGTTTTAGCTTTCAGGTTTAAAAACCCTTCATCAGGCTGAGGAAGCCTCTGTAGTTGGTGTGTGCTCTTCCTGGATGGAATGAATAGTAAAGAAGCCTGATTCACCCTAGGAGTCTTGTCTGCCTATGTCCTTTGACCAATACGGCTACAACCTACACCCCTCTTAGATCTGGGAAACCTTTCCTGACAAAATAGTAGGCAAAACTGGTCCCTTCCCTCAGAAAGTTTCATCATTGACAAATTTGCATTTTCAAATGGAAAGCCATTTAATTAAGGGTACATCCTACTGCCAAGCATAATACAATGCCGCAGTAGAAATACAGTTATAACTTCAAGACTGTAGGTATTTGTAAATCCTTTAAAACCTTCCACTTGCTTCAGAAAATTATCTCTTCTTTTCTTATTGTCCTTTGTACACTTTGGTGTCCTTACCCATCTTTTTCCAGTTTTCCCAGAGTCATGTAACTGTGTGAATTAGAAAAGGGAAGGGAAAAGTGAAATGGCTAATTCAGCTCTGAACAGCAGAGAGCTTTTATTTTCAGTGAAAATACAGTCGGTGCTTGGGTCTTCTGTGACCCAGTGAAACATTAAAAGAACTTGGTAAGTACGTATAATCACAAGGTTGAGAACCACTGGGTGACTTTGCATGTCAGATTTTGTCCTCTAAAGAGAAATACCTTGATCTGGCTTCAACAAGGCTGCATTGTTTGCAGTCTGACGTAGAACACTTTGTGCAGGAGACTTGACATAAGTAAACTGTAGTGAGGTGCCTTTACCTTTTCACTCTGATAACTAGAGCGGTCGTGTGATGCTGGAAGATAAGTGCTGATCCCCCCCAGTCTTTTTCCTGCATGTAAATTTGGAGGACTTCTACATTACCCATGCTGATTCCTCCAAGTCTCTGCAACTTCCATTTACAATATCATCATCTTTGAATGCATGACCCATAAAGTAAGTTGAATACCCTATTTTTCTAATCGTATATAAGATGTCTGTATGTATTTTCTAAAAACGACTACAGTAGCCACCAGATGTTATATGTGCTCTCACCCTGGGTGTCTGCTTTATTACATATATAACTTCACTGAGTGTTTTAAATAGTTTTGGGAGTGTGGTGACACTCTCTTTAGGAGTGGTCAGAGGCGGATAGCGATATGTAAAATTGCTAGTTTTCCCAAGATGCATAATTAATAGTTTGGAAGTATATTGCATACCTGATTACCAAAACTTTTAACTGGAATAATAATAAGTGATTAAATTCATCCTGAAAATAATATGGAATTAAAAGATTTTCATTCAATGCCTGTGAAAGTCAAATGGGAGTTACAATAGTAAGTTGGAAACGCGTATATTGAAAAGCAATTATCACTTGTTTATTTATTTATTTATTTTTTACTGGGGACTTTATTCTCTGCAGAGATGATAAGGTAACAAAGAATTTTAACAAAGTCATCCATGGCAAGAGGGAATGATGCGCTACTGCACAGTATTATTAGGCTACTGCTAAGTTAGTGCCTTGTGTAGATGTGCCCACTGTCCTTTACAGAGGAAAGAGGAAAACTTATCAGTGTTAAACAGTATTTTATACAGTTTACCCACATTACATTTTCATTTCATTTGGAATATAGAAGTGTCTGGCACATGCTGCACCCTTAATCTCTTGGTTATGTGAATTTATCCTAAGAACCTAACTGAATATTAGGAAAGAACATTTTTCTTTCCTGTTTTACCAATTAAAGTACAGTATTCCTGTTTGTGAATAAATGCTCTATGAGTGAAAGGTGCCAATTTAACAACCCTGGCATATGTAATCTTCTCTTTCTTCACAGAACAGCTATTGACCAAGCAGCAATATCACACGCTTACCCAGTGCTATTTCTCAGCCTGTTCCAAAGGGAGCCAGCTCCAATCACAGGGTTGTGTGTTCTGTCTTTGACACACAAACTAAGAAAGCCAACAAGGACATAGATTAGAAGCAGTTGTGTTTTTATGTGTGGATCTTGGGCACCTGTTCACTAGGAGCTGGAATGAAACAACCAATTCATTTTTTCATAGGCTCTCAAACACTCGTCATACTTTTGGTCATTAGCAACCTGAGCTGAATCTGATGACCTAGAGATGACTACCTAATCTGTAGCTATTTGGTTTTGGAACTCTGTCAAATCTGGCCTTCAATTCTCAAGGCTTCTGCCTGGGTATGCAATACAGCAGTGAGGGCCAACCTTTTTGGCAGTCATGCAAATTGCTTTTCACCCTCACCAAGTGCCATTCTGATCCCCTTTGCTTGCCCGGTCTGCTTTCTGTTTCCTGCCCTGTGCTCCCTGCCTCACCTGCTGCTCTGTTCTCTGCTTCTTGCCCTATCTGTAGGGACCTACTGAAATTGTGATTTTGCAGATTTGATGAAATCTGGCATTGCCCATGAAATCCATGGGGGGGAACTTACTGAAAAGAAAATGCTGGCTCTCTAGAGAGAGCCAGGAGTCCTTAGGGTTCTGCAGCAGCCTGCTGGGGGGACAGTGGGAAGGGAGGTTTGCCTGCTAGAAGGGCTGCTGGCAAGATGGTTTCCATGCCTACCCCTCATTGCAGCCCTCACAGGCAATCAGTGGTGAGGAGCAGGGCCCTTGCAGGTAGCCCTTGCAGCCAATCAGCGGCGTGGGGAGCCCACCATCAGTGGTGAGGGGCAGGGCCATGTGACAGGCTGCCCTTGCAGCCTATTGGTGGCAAGAA